TTTTCGTTGTCAATCCGTTCCATTATCGCTCCGAACATTTATTTGAAATTAAATATGCGCCTCTTGTATATTCTTCGACAGATTTGCTATGCATCTATCTCATTTTCATAAATAAAAAAAAACCACACGATTCACTCTAACAATCATAAAACTCAAACCCAAAACACAAAGTTTATGCATCGAACCAATCTCTTGTATTAATGAACTTACCTTCAGTTCTTGTCATTTGTTCTGTCTTAGACCGACTCAAGAAGAAGATATGAGGTCGTCGGTGAAGATATGCTTAACGAAATAACCATTTTTCGTTTGTTTTTCTATGTATAAAAATGAAATGAGAAGGGAGAAAATGAAAGAATTGAGAGAAAGATAAGAGTGGAGAGAGAAAGTTAAGAAAGAAATGAAGAGTTGTCAAAGAATGAAAACGAGAGAGATGAATTCAAAATGAAGAGAGGAGTATCACGTTACTTTTGTGAGAGGGTTAATTATGTCTTTTGTTCCTTTTATTTTATATCTGATGTTGCCGTTTTTTTGTTACTGTGCGAGGGTATGGGCTGTAAGTGAAATCGACATTTAAGGGTATTTTTGCAATTGCCCCTCATTTACAACCTCAATGGACAATATAACAAAAATACCCTTACTTTGCTACAAAGACTTCATGGTATACCCTTCAAAACCCTAAAATTTTGGAAAAAAATAAAAGGAACAAAAGACATAATTAACCCTCTCACAAAAGTAACGTGATACTCCTCTCTTCATTTTGAATTCATCTCTCTCGTTTTCATTCTTTGACAACTCTTCATTTCTTTCTTAACTTTCTCTCTCCACTCTTATCTTTCTCTCAATTCTTTCATTTTTTCATTCTTTGATAACTCTTCATTTCTTTCTTAACTTTCTCTCTCCACTCTTATCTTTCTCTCAATTCTTTCATTTTCTCCCTTCTCATTTCATTTTTATACATAGAAAAACAAACGAAAAATGGTTATTTCGTTAAGCATATATTCACCGACGACCTCATATCTTCTTCTTGAGTCGGTCTAAGACAGAACAAATGACAAGAACTGAAGGTAAGTTCATTAATACAAGAGATTGGTTCGATGCATAAACTTTGTATTTTGGATTTGAGTTTTATGTTTGTTAGAGTGAATCGTGTGGTTTTTTTTTATGAAAATGAGATAGATGCATAGTAAATCTGTCGAAGAATATGCAAGAGGCGCATATTTAATTTCAAATAAATGTTCGGAGCGATAATGGAACGGATTGACAACGAAAACAAAGGTACGCCACATTGGTTACACCGTTTAAAATTTAATTTTGGTCACACTGGTCACACTAGTCACCCTGGTCATACCGTTCAAAATTTAGTTTTGGTCACACTAGTCATATTGATCACACTGGTCACACTAGTCACATTGGTCACACTGATCACACTAGTCACATTGGTCACACTGGTCACACTAGTCACTTGGTCACACTAGTCACACTGATCACATCGAAAATTTTTAAAATTCACGCGAAAATATTTATTTTTTTGTGATGGAGAGAGTTTTAAAAATTCTAAAATATTTAAATTTTTTTCTAGAAAATCGAAAACTGTTTTTCTCTCTTTTTTCATTAATGTTTCTATCATTGGGACCCACACCAATGGATGTTTTGGGAATAACATAATTATAAAGGTATGTTTTGAAGTAGTTTTTATTTTTATTTTTGAGAGGTATACTGTAAAGTCTTTGTAGCATAATAGTTGCAGATCATATATTACCTATCGAACATGTATGGAAAAAGGTTGTCTGCCAAACAACCTCCCTTGGTCCTGTACATGTGGCATTAACCCATAGGTAAAAAGGTAAAAAGAATAACGGTTTTCTTGATACGGAGCAATCCAGCAAAAAACCAAATTAAAACCATCATAGAATCAAAATCGGAGCTATAGAGAGAGAGAGGACAGAGGATAATAACACTGCGGTTAATTTGCCTAGGAGAGCCAGAGCATGCATCGAAATTCGTCGCGAGGTCGTTGACCGAAATCTCTGAACAGCAGCGATTCGAACAGTGGTAATTGATGCGGCGGAGGCGTCCATGGCCACCAAAGACTGTAACGAGACGGCGGCGCGTGAGACAACGGACGGAGACGGAGAAAGGGAGCTTTCTCCCGATAGAGACGAAACACGAGGTCGTCCCCCCACGTGTCGTTATTTTTTTAAATCTACACAAGTGGGATTATGCAATGAACTAATCCCGTAATTGAAAATATATACGTATATGAATCATATATATATATATATATTATATTATATTATATTATATTATTATATTATTATTATTATTATTATTTTATTATATATATAAAAGTACAGTTCTATTCTTGAGGACTTGACACGTGTTTCTATTGATTCTTAAAAAATTTAAATTTTTATTCAGAAAATTAATACAAGAGATGTAATTAAAACGCTTGCTATTAATTGATAGGTGAATACACTTAACCATTTTATTACGTTATAGACCTTCTTTACATTGAATTTGGTGAAAGTACACTTTTTACATTTCACCTTGGCAGAAAGAGCACACGTGTCCAATCTTTTTCAAATCGAATACATTGCGTCAAATCTATATTTCATCCCATCTCACGTTCTTTTTAACTTTTATTTATGTGATATATACTTTTCAATATGTGTTGTTAATAAAACATGTTAATTCTACGTTTCATCCCATCTCACATTCTTTTTTACTTTTATAATAATAATATTATATTATTTTATATATATTTTCCAATCAGTTTATAATTAAATGTGTCGATGTCTTATCATATATCTTTTAAATATAAAAGTAGAATTTGTTTGATATAGGTGTGACACGTGTCATATTTTCAAGAATTAATGAAGTGTAAATTCTGTTAATATATTTATTTAGTAATTAATGAGACGAGATTTGGAAGATATATGCAGAGTATCTAATGTATCTAGATTATTTCTAAAACTTAATAAAAAAAGGTTCAGGAAACAGATTGAATGCAATGTATATAGATTAATTATAATACGGAATTCGAAAATTCCAGAGGATGTATGGAGGTTAGGAGCTACAAATATCTGCATGTATATATATGTCTTATATGTATGCGTTACCGTACATAGATGGAAGAGAGTGAGAGGAAGAAGAAGAAGTTCAGGTAACATTTTTTAGTTTTCATTTAATTAATTTTCAAATCCTAAAAATCTACTATTCTCCCTTACGTGTAACGTAATTGAAAACTCTACACTTTTTCTTTTTTTACATCATATTTTTAGAGCCACTTTTTTTCTCTATAGAATTAATCCACTTTTTTTTTTCCAAATTCTGGTATATTATTCTTCATGAAGATTAGTTATCTTGATTATAATTCATTTTTTATATAATTTGATAGGTATATATTTTTGTTAGTAATCTTTAATTGTTGTAATATTATTGTGTCTACGATCATATATATATACACAAGTATATTTTCTATACAGGAAAGTGACAAATATTATATATATATATATATATTTAAATTCTTCATATACTAAAACTAATAATTAAGGTCTAATTATATTTAAAGCTCTGTATTTATTTTTTTGTAAAATCAAAATACAATTGGTTCATAGTACACCGTAGATTCAAATTATTTTTTATAGTTTTTTTTGTGTTTGGTAAACTGTTCGTTTACGAAGACGAAGAGATGGTGGACACAAAAATGGTGAATTCTGACGAAGAAGGCAAGAGATATATTAATGTCGGAGAAGTTTAACAGGAACTTTCAAACACTATCGAAAAATAGAAGTTGACATATATATAAATATTGTATAATATTTTTTTTATTATATATGATCTCTTATTGGCGGTGATAGAAAATTGTATGTGAACAGCTAAGATGAACAAAACGTTTCATCTGAAAAAAGATTATCAGGTAAGGTGCGAATTTAGATTTTCAGTTCCATTTTAGTTTGATTTTATTTGGATTGGTTCTATCAATTTTAGAATTTTTATATCAATTGTGTTTTATTTAAAATTTCAATGATAACAATAATTTATTTAAAAATGTTTATCAATTACTTTTGTTATTTTAATATTCGATTTGATTCAATTATAGTTATGTAAGCAGGGGCGGATCTAGAGAAAATTATCAATGGGGCAACATAAATTTTTGTATAATCTCATAGACAAATTTTAATTTTTAATGGAGGCATTCGACAGATTTTATTTAAAATTTATAGAATTTATAAAGAAACTATTTTTTTTAATAAAAACAATGGGGGCCTATGCCCCCATACCTTATAAGTTGGGTTTGCCCATGTATGTAAGTATCCGATTTGGTTTATGAATTTACGAAGACCGTATGTATTGGGGAGATAAAGAAACCTGAAGCCAAATACTATAACAACAAAATCTCTTTGCGTGGTTTGTAGGTTATTGCGTGAGACCAATGAGTTTACTATGTACCCGAAGGGTTGTGATGGTTCCCTCCGTTACAAAAAAAAAAAAACAAAGGCTCTTTGTATTTAAGTATCTCACAAATATGTATATATATATATAGATGCATTCACATGATTGCAATTGTATGTATAGGTTTATGGATATCATGTGATAAGGGTGAATTTATAACGTCATTATATATGGGATAGATATTTGGATTATAATGGGTTTAAAGAAAGAAATTTGAAATGTTATCTGATTTCGTTTCAATTTTTATTCAAAATTGATTATTCTACACGAAATTTTCAGTTCTTTAAAAAAAAAGTCTACAATTTATTTTTTTTTCTTATCCTATTTTTATTTTTTAAATATAACCATGCATTGCATATAAAATTTTATATTTTAGCATTTTAACATATAGTTCATTGAAGTAACTCAACAAAATTACTTTCCAAATAAAAATTTATTGTCCTTTTTAATGAAAAGATAATCCTAAAACATATCAAAAAATTTATAAGATAATATTTTTCATGTCATACAATTTCATGTTAATAAAATTTACCATAAAAATACTATTACTTTCCCCGATATACAATTTCTGTCGTTAATAAAAATATAAAAAAAAATTTCAAGTTAGGAGATCATTTATTTGTTTGAATTGCAAAACTTGAAAAGCCAATTAAAATGAACTAATCTATGTATATATATGTGTTGTGTTTGTAGAACCTGGAGAGGAATACAATCGAGAAGGAATGTTTCATAAAATTATACACATTAGGATTAGGTAGTTTATAAAAGATCTATAATCCTTTGTATTTGTCCAGAATCTCTAATTAATCGGTTGAACCCCAAATCCAATAACCAAAATCTCAACGAAAGAATCCTAAATCGAATTTGTTTACACCTCACCACAAAAAAAAATTGAATCAGGAAGAGAAACGAAATAAAAATGGAAACCCTACTATATCAAAATCAAAAGGAAAAGAGAATGGAGATTTGAAGAGAATGTTAGTTGATAACAACACTTAAATATAAAAAACTCAAAACGAAAGCAAAAACGAAGAAGGCATTCATGTTGTCAGGTAAAGGTTTGTAGAGGTAAAGGTTTATAGATAGAGAGTGATTAGCGGGTGAGGAATTTTTGTTCATTTTTAATCAATCAAATAATTCACTAATTAATTATGTATTCACCCATCAGGATGACTCTTCTAGGGGGAATATTTTCTAAATATTCTGTTTTGTGACTATAGAAAATATGTGGTTATATATAAATATATAATTTCTTAGTCGGATTGTGTGATTAAGGAATAGATAAATGCATCCATATATATATGGATAAGTTTCCTTGATTATCTTTCGACACATCATATATATATATATATATATATAGTTCGTTTCGCGAGAAAGTATATGTGTTTATTTTTTACAAATTAACCCATTTGCTATTCCAATAGATAATCATAATTCAAAAAAATTAATGCAAAAAGAGTTATTTCTTATCAATCATGATATATATATATATATATATATATATATATAAACATTAGTACTTGATATCTAGATGGATGGGTATGTTGTAGATTTATAATCACAGGAAAGTTATATTATATATTTATTTTAATTCATCACCAATACTTCGTAAAAGATTATATGATATAGCTAAATACACTATCTTCATTCTTCATCATAAAATATATTTTTTTCTTAAAAAATAAAATATATTATTTAGACTATATTTAATACGGCGAGATTAATATATTTTCTAATATATTAAAATTATATATTATAATCCACTAAAAATATTAATTCAATATTTTACATTTCAACAATTGATTTTATAACATAACCCATGAAAAATCTAAACACAAAAATTATTCACAAACTATTTTTGAAAAAAAATACATCAGCTCATTATCTACATTTTCAAAAAAATCACGTTTTAATTTAATAATATGAACTGTAAATTTAAAAAATAAAATATATTATATTTAATTTTAAAGCTAAAAATAAAATTATTTAAAATTTATTTTATTTTTAGTCCGTACGATATATACGGATGAATATATTTGTTATATAAATATAGAAGTTGTGTCGGATCTCTAATTCGAAAAAATACATTACCCCATTATCTTAACACTATAAAAAAATCCGTTTTGATTTAATAATATAAAACTTTTTTATTTCCATTTTTTAACGTTTTAAAAAATTAATAGTTCAGTTTTTTTTGAAATTTTGTTTTTAAAAAATATTATTCTAATGTTCTATTTTAGGGTTTAGAGTTTAGGGTTTAGATTTAGGGATTCCAAATATTAATTTTACATTATAAACCACGAAAATAGAAAAATATAAATTATTCGCAACTCATCTTCGAAAAATTGTATCATTATGTTAACTAGACTCTTTCCAAAAAAATTCTTCATTTTGATTTAAAAATATGACTTATAAATTTAAAAACAAAATATATTATATTTAACTTTAAAACTAAAAATTAAATTATTTAAAATTTATATTTAACTTTAGTCCACGCGATGCATACGGTTAATACATTTGCTATTATAATAGAATTGTATATTATAACCTATAAAATATAAATACAGAAAATATATATTCACAATCTATATTTAACAAAATATATATTATCTTTTTTTTATGATAATTGGTAATCAATATGGTGTCAAATTTGGATGGACAACTCTTTTGAGTCTCCGCTTACTAATCGAGCTATCTATATTTGGTATATCATCCTATTATCTTGATATTTTAAAAAAAAATCTCAATTAAATTTAATAATATAAATTATAAAATTAAAATATATTTTATGTAACTTTAAAACTAATAATAAAATAATTTAAAATCTATATATATTTATAGTGCGCGCGGGGTTAAAACCTAGTTATATTAATTAAACACTAATTACGATACTAATTTAGTTAATTATGAATTAACGTTGCTAATTTTGGACGAGAGGAAGGTGCCTACAACGGCGGGTTGTTTCTGAGGTCAATGCCTGAACTCTAAAAAGTAAAATTAAAAATTTCAGAGAAAAGCAAAAAAATGAGAGGGCGAAAAAGGGGGAGAAATTTTCAGAGAAAAGCAAACCGAAAATGCGGAATTTTGACAGAGACGCAGCGAGATTTGATTCGTGATCTCTCTTTCTCTCTCTCTAACCCTACTGGAGTTACGATTTCGTTCGCGACTCCTTGAATAATTTCCTTCTGATTTCGATTTCTCTCTGTTGCTGCTTTGAACCAGATCTGTCTGTTTCCGGAACGATCATTTTGTTTTGTTTTTGTTGGTTGTTTTGTCTGTGTTTTTGTTTGGAATTCCACGCTTCTTCCCTGGTTTTGCGACTCTTGATCGGACAGAAAGCGAGATGGTTTTTATCCGGCGTTAAGGTTGTTTCTGCTTTTGCGATTCCACAAGGTATAAATTTCTTCTTTCTTCCATCAATTTCCAGTTTCAGGAGTAATTCTGATGTTTGTCAGGTTCTAGTTTGAATTATGAACACCTGTTCAATGCTAGTGTTGGAAGATCTCCTTTGTTTGATAAGGTTTACGTTTGTTAAATTCCATGATTTCTTCTCTGATTTAATGGCCATATGAAAGCCTTCATCATTTGAAGAATGTTGCCTCGTCATGTTTCTCAATGAACCGTTTGATTATACGGCTCGAGATTTTCATATACCGTATGATACATTCCATTGCAGATTAATGTTTGATGATTCTATCGAAGCTCTTTCGAGTTCCGAGTATTTGATTGCCACTGGAAGGATTCAACATAGAGCACCAAGAGAATTCAATTTCTAGTATAGTTGTTGGTATATTGATTTGATGCAAGAATCTATTGCTGGGTCATTTGGGTGAGGGCTATGTGAGTTATGGTATCGGACACATTTATGCGGATTGTTTCACCGTGTTGGAGACCTTCAGTCGAGGGAGAAAATTCCAGTCGACACCACGGGGACACGAATGGACGGATTGATGGGCTGTTGTGGTACAAAGATTCAGGACAACATGTTGCAGGGGATTTCTCGATGGCCGTGATCCAAGCCAATAGTCTTCTCGAAGATCATAGTCAGCTCCAGTCGGGGCCGATGAGCTTGGTTGATTCGGGTCCCCAAGGAACTTTCATCGGTGTATATGATGGGCATGGTGGTCCAGAAGCTGCCTGGTTTGTCAATCAGCACCTCTTCGATAACATCAGGAGTATGTTTTTCTTCTCCACCTGTCCATAAATCCATTTTCTTTCTACGATATTATTCTCGGGGATTACCCAAATCCAGCTGCTTAGACAAATTTTGATATGAAAATTTGTGAAAAGAGCTAGAACTTGTTTTTATCAGCTTTAGGTAAGATTTTAGTTGAACTTAGTTGTAGAAAAGTAAGATAGAGTGAATTTAGACACATACTGTATACTTGCTGAACGGTGAAAGAAGTGAAGATGTGATTTCGAACATCTAGAGCACATTTCCAATCTCGGGTTAGTGTATCATCACAATGGTATAGGCTATGCACATGTTGCACATTCCACATTTTCGGTGTCGGGCCGATGATAAGCATAAGCTTACACTTTAGCTCCCTTCTATTTTGGCTGAGAATAGTTCTTTGGTTTTTCTAACTTGGTAAGTTGGTAACGATTCTTGACGCAGAATTCACATCGGAGACTCATGGAATGTCTGCCTCTGTCATAACCAAAGCGTTTTTGGCTACAGAAGAGGAATTTCTGTCTCTTGTGCGTAAGCAGTTTCAGACAATGCCTCAAATCGCTTCTGTCGGGGCATGCTGTCTGGTAGGAATCATATGCGGTGGATTGCTTTACATTGCAAACGCGGGAGATTCTCGGGTTGTGTTAGGAAGGCTCGAAACAACATATAAATTGGTCAAGGCCATTCAGTTATCATCCGAGCATAATGCAAGTATCGAATCTGTAAGGGAGGAGTTGCACTTGTTGCATCCTGATGATCCGCAGATCGTGGTTTTGAAACACAAAGTTTGGCGTGTGAAAGGTATTATACAGGTAAGTGAAACAGTATACTTCGGGATTGTTACGTGAAAAACTGTATCAGATTCTAAACGGGTTTAGGGTTTAGAGCTTAAATTCTATTTCCGACCCATAATCTGCAGGTCTCAAGGTCAATTGGTGATGCATACTTAAAGAAGGCAGAGTTCAATCGTGAGCCTTTGTTGGCTAAGTTCCGACTTCCGGAGCCTTTCAGTACACCGATCCTTAGTGCTGAGCCTGCTATAACCGTCCACAAGATTCAACCCGAGGATCAGTTTCTTATATTTGCTTCTGACGGGTTATGGGAGCACCTGAGCAACCAAGAGGCAGTTGACATCGTGAATACCTGCCCACGTAATGTAAGATTCTCAATTTCTTGCTCTTCCTTATGTATCCTTAAGGGTGGATGCGGGTAAGATACCCGAGTGTTTCGGTGTACTCGACCTGAGGTCGACTACCTCGGCCTTGCCCCCCTCGGGTTCATGCCCAAGCCATTTGACCTCGGTCTCGTGGGGGTTGGGTACTCGAGCCTCAGATATCCGTGGATGCGGTGAGAGTTCGCATATCCGATTGGTGAGAAGGCAAAACTAGAGACATATCTGGGAGCAAGCGGTGATATCGACAAGATGAGGGTGAACGCGAGCGGTCAGGACAAGGCGAAAATTGCATCACAGTGCGAAATCGAAAAATTCGAAACCCTAAGCCTAGTTTGTTCCTCGCTGTTTTGAATTAAATCAAAATACAGGTTTTAAACAAAAAATGAATCGGGTTACGGGTTTCACGGAACTGCGAGGCAATATCAAAACCCTAAGCCTCGCTCCTCATAGCACCGCTCGCCTCTCGCCCTCGCCACACCTCTCCTCTCCCTCGGATCGATGAAACCCGACCTCGAACCAGTTTGGTACTCAGACGCCACACAATCCGCCCTCGTACTCACCCCGGCTCGGGTTTCTGAATTTTGGGTATCCGTGGGATGGATACCCTCGGATCCCACGGATTGATGTACCAACGCACAACCCTATCCCATATATTATGCCAACATGAGTGACTCAGTATTATTCTCTAAAGACACCAAAACTCGCCTCTAATCCCTTACTAAAACATGTCTGATTAAAAACATCAACAAAGCTCGGGTTCTTTCTACATGGGTCGGAAGAAAAGAATCTCTAGTACGTCAGGTGAGATCTGTTTAGAACTAATATGTTACGTGGTCCGTGCGCAGGGAATCGCGAGGAAGCTCGTCAAAACGGCTCTAAGAGAGGCGGCAAAGAAGAGAGAGATGAGATATTCGGATCTGAAGAAGATCGACAGAGGCGTCAGGAGACATTTCCACGACGATATAACGGTAATTGTGGTGTTTCTCGATTCCAACCTCGTAAGCCGTGGCTTCTCCCGCCGTCCTCTCCTCTCAATAACCGGCGGCGGCGACTTGGCCCGAAGTTCAAATTCCTTTTCCTAAGTCCAGTCTCAGGCTGACCGACCTTCATATAAATCTATATAATTCAGTAACAGAGCCTTTTTTTTGGTCCCAAATATCTAATTTTCCACCCATTTTTTTAACTCACCCTAAAAGAAATGAAGAGTTCAAACGAAAAGATCAAAATGTGTTGGAAATTAGGATTATCACTTCTCAGTGCTGCTCTCATACGACAACATTAGCGTAATGCGTTGCAAAGTGGGCGGCATAACAGAAAAAATGGTGAAAATGTTATGAATTTTAGTATATGGTGTAATTAAGTTATATTAAAATTATAAATTCCGATTTTTGTGGGTTCCTTTTTTTCTTAAATAAAAAAAATCTCGAAATTGAAATTATAAAGCTCTGTTTACCTTAAAAACCCTAAAAAATCGATGCATAAAATAACTACAGCTAAAGATCATGTTTTTTTTTTTCCCATTACCATTACACTGCATTAGTTTTTGAGGTGTCCGATATAATAACTTAGAAACCAAAGTGCTTGGGGAAAAAAAGAAAGTAGTCCTTTTCTATTGTTTTTGTCGCAACACATGAAATTGAAATTGCTTTTAACAGAACATTAGGTATTCGTGACGGCTGAAAGAAAATAAATTAGGTATGTGAAATAATTTCAAACCATTGATAAATAAAGAAAACTAAAAATTGCGGAATTACTTGACATTTGTGTATCATTTTGTAAATGGGGAAATTTGGGCTCAGGTCAAGAAAACTGAATCGATCCAAATTTTAAAATATATAATTGCATTAGATCCTGATAGAAAAATTGATTATATATGAATTTTATAAAACAGAAAATTAATTGAGATTGAGATTAGGATCCTTAAAAGGGGAAGAAGGTCATTAAACGAACAAAACCCCAAGTTAGGAAGAAGAGATAAATTATGAGACATACTAGGCGAGAGAGATTTAGTAAAAAATAATATATATTCTTTTTTTGATTTAGAATAAATATTATCATAAAATTAAATTATTATAAAATATGTATTTAAATAAGTAAAAAAGTGAGAAAATATGAATATCATTATGTAAACGGTTTATAAGATCTATATCAATGATATATTATGAATGTTGTATTGTTGATTTGTTTTCTTTAATCTTTATAAAAATTTAATTTAGTTATAAGATAATACTAAAAATCATATTATTAAATATTATAGTTATCTTTTTTTTTAAAAAAAAAATAGTTAAATTTTTACATATAGATTTTTATATAAAAATAAATGCATTTTAGAATTTAAAAAACATATATGAACTTTCTATTTTTTTCTATAATCCTATATCAGTTCTAACTTTGTTAATTATTTAAAGGTTTTGATAACATATCATTGTCATATGTAAAAAATATCATTATTGTCTCATAAAAAATCTCAATTAAAAAATATAAATAATATCTATAAATCTATTCATAAAAATAAAAATATAAAATACATATATATACACACACATATAAGTACAAATATATATATGTGTAAATATATATATGTGTATATATGTATATATATATATATATTTATGTATGTATATATGTATTTATATTTTTGTATTTTTATTTTTTATGAATATATCTATATATATATATATTATCACTGTTGCAATTTTCACAATTCAGAATCAGATGTTGCACTACATAGAAATAGAAAAAAAAAGCAAAACTCATTTTAGATTTTTCTTCCATTGCTTTTGTTTTCCACCAATTTAACGCCTCTTGCAAATCGTTTCTCAAAAGATACATAACAAAACCAAATACCAACTCAGATTTCACTAAGAAAAAACGAAGATGGAATAGAATCGGCGGAGACGGAGTTGACATAGTCGGCGAGACGTCAGAGAATCACATTAAATTTGTCGGAGAGACTGTCAGGGCTTAGGGCACGATTAGGAAGAGAAATATCTGGGATTGGGAATATGAGTGGGCGTTTTAACCCGTAACCCGGAGGTTTGGAGGTACTCGGCTTAACAAGTATCTGAATAAAAGGTACCCGAATATTAACGATGATGAGATCGAGTATTAATAAGACTAAGTTTTTGACCCTCGAGTCTGAGTGAGGTTTCAATTATTTTACAAGGGGTACACAGGGGTACCCGATATATTTGTTAAAATCTAAAATATATTTTATATTTATAATATTTTTGTCTAAATTATTCTTATTATTTATTAAAATACTTTTATTTTAATTCAATTTTTTTATGTTCTAAACTTTTCTATACAAAAATTTCACCATTTCAAATCTCATTCTATGCAACCGAATCAATTATTCATCTCTCTTTCAAAATTTTACTCATCTCTCTTTATCGTGAACTTTTCTCTTTATACTTTAACCTCTCTCATTTGTATTTTCTATATCTATCATTTTATAGTTCAAAATTTTATAAGTCGTATGGGTTCGGATACCCGCGAATACAAGACCGAGAATCTCATTAAACCCGAACTACAATTACCCGGATTTTATGAAGCCAAGACTGAGATAATATTTTTGTAAAACTCGTGGTAATGAAGAAGACTAGACAGGGTTTTCTGAAAATTGAGGGTACCCGACCCGTGCCCACCCCTAATTAGGAATAAAGTATCATGAATACCGTTTTTTCTTTTAATTTTGTACACTAAATAAATATATACTTTCTTCGTATACATCCAAAATTATATATTACATACATATGCATATATATTTTCATATATATATATATATATATATACATATATTTCATTTTTCGTTTAGAATGATTCAATTTAAATTTGACTTTTATTATATTTAAAAATTTTATTTATTTTCATAGATATTTTCTTTTTTTATGTCAAAGATAACAAATAAATTTTGAATATAAGTGTATAAATGAGAATAAAACTAAAAGCATTGTTTAATATTTCATTATTTAATAGGTAATGATTTCCATAGACCAATAAGAATTAAACAAAAGACACATGGATGCTTATGTGTCTTTGCCAATAATATAATGTATTCCTTTGGCTTGTAGTTTATACATTCTCGAATTTTTCCTTACAATTATATGAATTATTTATTTATATAATTGTAATAAATTATTAAAAAATTATATAATTTTATTTATTTGATATAGTGAAAAAGAAAAAAACAAATAAAAGTAGTAAATTTTTTTACCAATTAAAAGTAGTAAATTTTAATCCAGCTCTTCTAATTTTTGAGTCAAATGAAGCGACTCGTAAAATTGAAAACAAATACGATGTAAAAATACTTTCATTTAGAATTTGTATTACCTTAAAATAATTATATTTACACTCAAATACAACATAATACAAACAATTAAATTATCTAAATATGATAAAATATATAAAAACTAAAAGTTGTAGTATATGGAAAAAATGGATGCTACAGCACCCACTCTTTATCTATTTTTATTTTTAGGGGTGTCAATTTAAATCTGAGTCCCGAAACTCGGCCTGACTCATCCTGAAAATTAGCGGACTTCGAACCTAAATTTTCTTGTCCGAAAAAAATTAGATTTTTGGATCGGACACGAATCAGGCTTCGGACCAGATTCGGACTGATCCGAATATGATATTTTTAAAAAATAAAAATAAAAATAATATTTACAAATGAAATTATGCAGGGCGGTCTGAACCAACCGTTTTAAGCTAAAATAAGGTTTCTTTCGAAACCTTAGGGCCAAAATTTTACAAAATTTTAGGTTCGAATATAATATATTTTTTATTTAAGATGATAAGTTTTAAATTTGAATAATTTCTAAATTAATCTTTCATGGAATATACAAATCCAAATTAATCATTAATTGATAATTAATGTTTAGATATTGTTTTATTTCCATCTATGGACTTTTTTTTTTTGATAATTTCCATCTATGGACTTTCTATATGTAAAACATTAAATATCCAAATCCAACAAAATTTATTTAATGTTTCACGTCTGCATTCAATTTTTCTAACAATATTATTTTTAAATTTTGTGTTCTTACATTATATAAATCAGAACATCCATCCATGGTATCTATCAACCTATCAAGGAAAACATCTTTCTCTAGGAAATTTGGTATACGGAAACCATGAACTCAAACAAAACTTTTCTTGTGGTTCTCTGCCTCATCGTTGTCTCATGTAAGTCTCTTTCACTGCCTAATTCACAAAAAATATTCCATGAAAACATTTTATATATAGGTTGTTTTTTAAATAATTTTGATTTAATCTCTAGAAACTCAGTAATGCGAATTCAATTCACGTGATATATATGGGGAGATTAAATATGTCAATTTTTTTTTTTTTTTTTTTTTTGGGAAGGTGTTCCAATTTCAGAGGCAGTGTCGTGCACCAAGAATGAAGATTGCCAATTCATAAAATGTCCGACCCTCAAGATCTGTTTCTTCGGTGCATGTATCTGCCTCCCGTATTCCGAAAAAGACGCTTTTACCCTCCACGGCACCCAGCTGTCTCAATGCGTTGTGTCCTGTAAGAGTAAGGGTAAATCTGTCATTTCAGTCTCCGATGATAAGTGCCAGTGCGGTTGATTCGCCATGTACCTGTTTTTGAAGCTGTCAATAAAACTCGTTGAATGTAGTTATAGATCGCCTTCCCCTTTTTTTTTTTATTAGCTTATCATATATTCCTTCTTAAAGATGAATTTCCGGATATACCCTTCTGGTCAATATAGTTATAGATCGGGTGTAAAATGGATTGTTTGTTCGGACCAATATCCACACTATATTAGTACAGTCAATTTTTTTTAACGAGATAAAAATAGTCAGATATAACCTAATTCATTTAACTCGTGAATAAAATTAAAAAAAAATCGGTTCGTTGTCTAAAAAGTTACTGTTTAACTCAAATACAAGATAATACACAAAGTTATATTATGTAAGTACAAACACAAAATATAAAATATATTTTATATCATACAATGTATCAATTTAGGTCCGGGCTTAAAACCCTTGACGGCTTGACGTAATCTAAAAAATAGTGGATTTGGATCTAATTTTTTCAACCAAAAAATTGAGCTTCAAGGTTAATATGAATGAAAATAGTGACATGTTAAATGATAAAATACCTAATTCATAAAAAATTTTAATAAACTTAACATGATACCGAGATAAAAATCGTAAAAAGTGTTTGTTAATTTAATAATCATAACATAATTTAAAAAATGCATAATAAAACGTACATTTTCATCAATTAATAAGAAGTCGATGCAATGGACTTATTTCTAGTGAAAGGATTCCGTTCATCCTATATCCTTAGAAATCTAATTATAATACACTGATAACTGTGATGTCTTTTCATCTTATTCAATCTTGCATTGGTTGGTATCATTGTGTGGATCTGATTTTTTAATTCCTACGATAGATTTAATTTGATCAATAATGACGTTATTTGCTATATAGTATGTTTATTTATTACTTTTATAAGAATAAAATAATGATTGAACGGAATAATATATATATGTATTTATACACAAAAGTCGTTGGCATGATCCTGTTAAAAAATGTAAAGATTATGATTAGTAGATAAATACCAATATTATAAATTTTAAATAATATATATATTATAAACGATTTGTCATGCACACATATATACACATATGAATACTACACTTCAATTTCAGAATTTTACTATGTCGTATACTTTTCTTACATCAATTAAATTTAATATTTTTCGTTTAAACAATGATGAAAATAAGATTCTTCTTCTTTATATATAACTTTCTTCTTTATATATAACTTTATAGTGTTGGTAGTCCATAAAAGGTGTAGTCGTATCAATCTCCATGATTGACAACTCGTCTGTCTTTTTCTCACTCAAGAAGCTATGGGTAGCTTCTATGTCAAACAAAGTGATGCATGCAACATCGTGTATGCAAATAATACATGTGATAGCGGCAACATCGTCCTCCTCCAGATAGTCTTCATCAGTGGCCTCGTAGGTGGTCAATGGTTCTGCAGCAAATGGCTCCTCCACTGTGTATGGCTCCTCCTGGGCATCTTCCTCAGCTGTGAGAGCATAAACTCTCGGAGCAACACCTGATCTCTTCTGCGCTGGGCGTGGCGGCTTGTTGTTGGCTTGAGGAGCAATGTTCGCAGTGCATCTAGCAGCAAAATGTCCCGGTTGACCGCAACGGTAGCACGTCATGGTGTTTCCACAAGTTCCAGTATGGTCTCGACCACACTTAGCATAGGGCCTTCTATACTGTAGTGGTTGGGTCGGGGTCGTGGGGCGAAACGCTGGGGCCTTCCCCTTGTCACGGGGTTGACTCGTCTGCCCAACTCTCACCGGGGGACGGTTGATCGGCCCTCTCCTGTATGGACTCCGGTCTTGTATCTTGGCTTCCACCTTCTCCTTCTCGCTCCGTTCCACCTTGTCGAGTTGGTTGATGTACCGACTCAACGTAGGGTACTCATGGCACTCGATTCTCCTCCTGAGAGAAGCACGTAATCCAGCAATGAATTTCTGGATTCCGTACTCCTCGGTTGGCACTAGGTGACCTCCATACTTTAGCAGCCGGTTGAATTCCGCTTCGTACTCTCGAACAGTCATGTTACCCTGTTCAAGACGAAGGAATTCCGTAATACGGTGACCCTGGTCTTGCCTCCGGTAGTACTTCTGCTCGAACTCTGCCCGGAACTCTTCCCACGAGAATTGGTGTCATGCGGAGCCTCACGTACAACTTCCTCCCACCAATGGCGAGTCGCGCCAGCTAGATGATGGCTCGCTAACTCAGTGCGGTACTCCAGCGGGCACCTGATGTAGTTGAAGTGATTGGTGATCTTGATCATCCAGTCTTCTGCTGCCTCTGGGCTAAGAGAACCCTCAAACTCCGGAGTGGCCAAGGCTCGGAGTTCCTTGACGAATGGCAAGTAGTCCACTACAACTTGCTCCTGAATCCTCGGAGGTGCAGGCATCGGTGGTGGTGGTGGCAAACCTCCCTCCGGCCTTGCCGCAGGTGGAGCAGCAGGCGGTGGCGGTGGCGGTGGCATGCAACCTCGTATGAACTGCCAGATGTTCCCTTAGAACAATGCGAATTGGCGTTGCATTTCCGCCATGTCGTTATTCGGCGGAGGTGCCCTCGGTCCTTGAGGTCGTTGCGCATGTGCAGCACGTCATGGAGGCATAGCTACTGTGGACAAGAAATTTTTATTTAGTATCGGGACCTGGTGATCATGCTTGGATTTTTATAAAATCTTTAAAAATCATTTTTACCCATTCCCAAATTCCAGTGAAAACACGAGCACATCCTTTCCCCGTGGAAGGAACTGCTCTGATACTAACATTGTAACGCCTGAAACCCGCACCCCGCAATACGAGTTGCGTCACATAGACAACTAAAATAAAAACTCAATTTCTGAAAATCCGCGAAAATTTAAAACTTTTCTTTTCAGAGTTAGCGGAAGAAAACACTTGTACATACATATATGATACATTATTTTCAGTTATAATTATACATAATCAAGTGGCAGTATAACCTTATTACAAACCTTTAAAAAAAATCTACCACCGATATAATATATGTGGTATTAGTGGACCAAGTCATCATAAATGTTCGTTAAACTTTTCATAATTTTGTATAGATTTATGCTTAATAAATATTTTGCAGTCCAATAGCAATAAAAAAGGTTGATGAATATTCTTAATTTGTTTTGATTATTGGGCTAGCGAAACGTCCTAAGCCATTTTAATTTTTTTTAATTCTGTCGTACTCCACTAACTATTCCAAATAATGACCGGTATTTACTCAAAAATAATTTTTTCAATACTACTAAACGTGCATTTCTTTATAAACAATTTTTATTGGATATTGATGCACTTAATGAGAATTACTCTAAACCAATCAAAATTTAAAAAATTTCCATTTAGTATGCTGAGGTGGCTTTACCAGAAACCTTCAAATCCAACTTTATATATATATATATATAGATTTGCACAGAACACGGAAGAGAGGTGACATAGTGAACAGATGATGGAGATGAAAAGATGTGAAAACAAGATACCCAAACCGATGGACCATAATTTTGTAAATTAAATTATAATAAACTTAAATATTATACATAAATAAATAAAATTTAAAGGATTATGGTCACACTTTTCTTAATTTTTATTGGATTATAAAAATGTTCATTAGTTATAAATACATAATAAAAAAGTCGATAGATTATGTGGCACTTTTCTTAATTTTTATTGGATTATAAAATGTTGGGATAATTCCATTTAAAACCCTGTACTTTTCTCTCGTCGCAATTTAAACCCTATACTTTTTTTTGATCCAAAAAAACATTGTACTTTTAAAAATTGGAAATTAAAACTCTATACTTTTAAAAATTGGCAAATAAAACCCTTAACGAAAAAATATATTATTTAATGCTGACATTGCATCCTAGTCATCTGCCGCATCATCAATCCCTAATATTTAATAATATTAATTAATACAAAATAAAAATAAAATAATAATAATAATAAGGGAAAATTCCAAAAAAAACACTGAACTTTATAATTTTGACAAAAAAACACTGAACTTTATTTTTTTTCAAATACACATTAAACTTTTTAAACGAATCTAAAAAATAATGAACTTTTTAAATGATCCAAAAAATACATAAACTTTTATGCGATTATTAAAAAAAACACTGAACTTTTTTAGTGATCCAAAAAAATACATGAACTTTTTTCGATTGTAAAAAAATACTAAGTAAAATAATTTGACGTGTTTGCATCTTATTGGACCACGTCATTCATTTTGTTTATTTTGACAACCGTAGAAAAATTAAGTGTTTATTTTGTCAAATTTAAAAAGTTTAATGTTTATTTGATAAAATAAAAAGTTCAGTGTTTTTTTGGTCAAAATTGTAAAGTTCAGTATTTTTTTTGGGATTTTCCCTAATAAAAATAAAATTTTAAAAATTATACACATACATATATAATGAAATGATATACATATATACACATATATAAACATATTTATATATATACACACATATATATATAATATATATATATATATATATATATGTTTTATATGCATATGTGGTATACGTATTTTTTTTTCTTCTAAAAATCATGCATATGTCACATATATATATATGATTTTTAGAAAAGCATGTATATATCACATATACATATAAAACATATTTATATATACATATATATATATGTATTATATAGATATATGTGTATATATAAATATGTTTTATGTATGTGTGTTATATGATTTTTTTCCTAAAAATCATACATATATATATATAATGTTTTTAGGGAAAAATACATATATAACACATACATATAAAACATATAATAATTATACACATATATAGATATATATGTATCATATGTATATATATGTATATATGTATATATAAATATATTTATATATGTATATAATTTTAAAATTTTTATAAAATGTTTATATATGTGTATAATTTTTATGAATATATATAATTTTTAAATTTTCATTTTTCTTTTTTTCTATTTTTATTTTTTATTAATTAATATTATTAAATATTAGAGATTGATGATGTGACAGATGACTAGGATACCATGTCAGCATTAAATAATATTGTTTTTCGTTCATGGTTTTATTTGCCAATTTTTAAAAGTATAGA